ATATATATAATTATAATTTAGTATATTTAGTAATATCATATAATAATTTAGTATATTATATAATATATAATTTGCTATTATTATATAATAATATAAATATTTTTTTATTTTTTTATTTTTCATTTTTACAGATAAAGCTTATATGAGGTTTAAAGAGAAGGCGGGTTATGATAGAAGATAGGACAGAAGATAAGGCAATATTAGATTTAAGTGTGACACCTGACTTGAAGAAAAAAAATAAAGTTGTAAATATATATTTTTTATATTTATATAAAATATGATGAAATTAAAAATTATATATAATATTATTTATATTAGTTGTAGTAGCAGAAGTAATATATATATATACAGAAATCTAAATCAAGAGCTAGTGCACCTGAAACTAAACTGAACTATTTATTCAAATCAAAAGTCTAACATTTCAATAAAGAGAAAGACTTTACAATGCAATGGAGAGAAACACTTTACAATACACAGGAGTTTAACATCGCCCCCACACGTCCATAAAAAGTCACATATACGCTGGGTACTTCAGGTTTCTAATCACGAAGTTTATGAGGGCATCTAATTTCATTGTGCAGAACGTTAGTATGAAATTATTCCACCCACAGACCTGAGCGGGGAGGCTGGCGATGTGGAGAAACTCCCCACGGGCCCCTTGCTTGGCAGGCAGGATGAGGTAAAACAGGGAAGCATCTGCTGTGAACAACGGCTCCTCCTGTAGGACAAGCCACCATCAATATACTTTCCTCCAACAGATCAACACGAGACGACACCATTTTGATGTAATTAATTTCTGGTCAAGGTGGATGCAGCTTTTAGGAACCGAGGAACGCAGCCTGAGAATTGATTACATGCCTCCCTGGAGAGAGTGAAAGAGAGAGAGAGAGAGGCTGAACTTACCTGCTGCTGGTTGTTGTGCCAGAAGTCCATCGCCATTTGGTGCCTCTGAAGATTAAAGATGTTTTAAAAGGATTAGACATGTCATATATTATAAGTAAAATATGTGCTTAAATCATTTGTTCTCTTCTGCCTGCCAGGGAGAGTTGTACATCATGAATGCAGAGTTTCAGTCAATCCATCATTCTCATTGGCATCGCATTAAGGAAGTGCATGTTTCATTTTTATCTGCAGTTTAGATGTGCTGTCAGGAACATCTAGAGTTCTACATCTATGCCATTAGGCTGTTCTAAGTTAACCTTATTTAAGATATAAGCTACATATTTCCTCTATTTTTACATTTAGATTACATTTGCCTTCAAATATCAATTATTCATATTGTGCATTATTTTGAAGTTTGAAGTTTATTTACTTTTCTGCTTAGCAATACTGATATTGAATTATAGCAGAAAGTACATTGAAAGATAAAATCGCAAGGAAAAAACATAAAATACAAAGATACCAGAGAAATATAAAAACAACATTTTCAAAACAAATTCAATAATACTACTCAAAAAAAAGACATACATTTGCACATACATAAGCAAAATATACATCTATTAACACACGCACATAAACCTAAAAAGTTTTAAAAAATACAAATACAACTGCAAAAAGGACCATAAGTATCCACATTACATTCATTGAACAGTCTAACGCCAAAAGGAATGGTAGAACTAGCATAACATTTTGTCCTTGCTTTGAATAATGTCAAATTGCTTTGCTTCCTAAGAAGCCGACCAGTTTTTTCACCCCTGGTTGGTGGAAAAAGATCATGAGGATGATCATTCTGGGCCATCTCTTGTATTAATTTGATGGTGGCTTGCTCTCTCCGACCTTGTAAATCAGGTAGATGTATTGATGTGTTGGTAAATCTCTCAATGATTCGTTGTGCTCTCTTTTGCATGCTTTCCAGCAAAGCTGCTTGCTTTTTTGTGCAACCAACTAACAGCACATTTGCATACTCCAGACAGGTTCTGATCAAGGAGCAATAAACACTGACTAAATCATCAGCAGAAGCTCCATGTTTTGCAAAAACTGTCAAAAAGTGAAGACGTTGAGATGCCTTTTTTA